GGCAAGAATCTAATCCAGCTAGCAATCCAGTAAGAAAACAAGCATCGTGTGCTGCTGGCTTTAATCGCCGTTCCATCTCGTCGCAAATGTGTTCAATCGGATTCAAATCCGGGCTATTAGCAGGATGATGGAGCAATGTGATGCCATGTCGCTCAAAAAACCGCTGTGTTACATTTGCCGAATGGGGCCGAGCATTGTCCTGCATGAATATAAAATTTCGACGTAACAGATGCTGCAGAGGCAAAACTTGAGGTCGGAGAATATTATTCACGTAGCGAATAGCCGTCATTGCTGCAGGTGGCAAAATTACTAATTCAGTTCGTCTCGTCATCGAAATGCATCCCCATACCATCACTGAACCGCCGTTATGAGCTCTTATTCGCATAATTTGTCGATCATAACGCTTCCCTTGTCGGCGCCAAGTGCGTATGCGAGCATCATTGCCGTAAAGGCAGAAACGCGACTCGTCCGAAAAATAAACGTTTTTCCATTGCCTCGCGGTTCAATTTATGTGATTTTGAGCAAATTGAAGACGAGCCTGACGATGTGCAAATGTAAGTCTTGGCACCTGTGCACGAGAGCGAGAACGAAGACCCACCTCTCTTAAGCGACGACGAATCGTTTGTTCGCTGACATGATGTAAAGTAGGAATTCACGTCGAACACACCTTGCAGTAATCGTTTGTCTTCTCAAAACGTGGCGAACAATTTCTCGATCTTGTCGAACTGTTTTTATACGATGACGGCCATTTCCTTGACGTCTCGTGTATTGTCCTGTCTCTTGATATCGTAACCACGCTCTATTTATTACAGATACGGATACACCGACACGTTGCGCTACTGTACCCTTCTTCCAGAAGTGCGATTATGCGGGCAACTTCGAATGCTGGCAAGTGTCTGCGCAGCATTTAAAAAATTTGCAATATGCGACTATCTTTGTTAGAAAGCGCGAACTTCTCAATAGCCTCAATCGAGAAAAGAGAAGACTTAAAGTTCGCGCTAAGCGAGTTCGAGAATGTGTTTATAAGCGAGAGTTTTGCGTTAGCTCCAACTTCAAGTCTTCTTTTTTCGCGCTAACCCAAAACTCTCGTGGTGCACATTGGGTTACGCTAATGTCGGCGGTAACCACTATTTTTCAGAAAATGGCAAGAGCATTTCGAAAATTCTGATCAAAAAAGACATCACATAATGATCTTTTAACTTCAGGTTAGAGTAACTTCGTTAAAAATGGTCATAATGAGATTTTTAAAAAAGCATTTTAAAGGTTGAAATCTCTACTTTCAAAATCAGTAATTGATATTTCAATCTAACTGATCTTTGACGGAGCTATACGGACACAAATGGATATTTGTCAAATCTAAAACATATCGTATAATTTTGTACACACTTTACAAAGGTCTATGGCGTGAGGTAAAAATTACACGAAAATG